TATGTGCTCAATGGGGGAAAAGACCACATCTATCTAAAGAGTCATGTCTACCCTCCCCCCTCTATTCTTGTCCAGAACACAGGACGCAAGTGTATGTCTGTGGAGGCAATACATTTGCAGAACATCCTAGAAAAACTACATAAATCAGTGATGGAAGAGACCTGTTAAATCTGCTACTTTATCCCCTTCTTCCTCAGCCAATGCAGGATTATTGCCTAAAGTATATTCTCTAGTTTGTTTTTAAATGGCTAATTTATCTGGAGATTGGGTGGGTGAAGAAATAAATTCCTGGACCTGGTATCGTTTTCCTTTCCCAAAGTTACATTATGCATCAGTGGATGGAGAGGGAACAGGTTCCAGGGCCAAAATCTTTAGAGATGGGTCCCTATAGTTAATCTAATTAATCCACATTGAGGCACTTAAATAAGCGGCCTGATTTTCAGGGATGCTGAGAAGTGGCAGTTCCTGCTGACCTCATTTGGGAGCTGCAGGTGTTCAGCACGTCTGAAAATCAGATCACTTCTTTAGACACCTAACTTCAGTCACCCAATTTGAACATTTTGACCTACATCTCCTGTCTGACTCTTAGGTGCTCATATGGCCACCCTTAACATGGTAGCTGAGTGCATCACAGTCTTAAATGTACTTATCCACACTTTCTCTGGGAGGTAGAGAAATGCAAGCTTCCCCATTGTACGAATGGGGAACTGAGGTACAGAGAGATAAAGGCTCAGCTCCTCAAAGGCATTTAGGCTCCTAACTTCCAGAAGGTAAATACCTTTGCGAAGCTGGGCCAAAGTGACTTGTCCCAGGTCCCAGAGGAAATCTGTGGTAGAGGAAGGAAGTGATCTCAGATCCCAGGCTAGCACTCTAACCACGTAGCCATCCTTCCCGGTCACAATCTCAAGCCATTAGACCAGTATTGCCTCTGAATGAAAATCTTGTTTACTGTCAGTAGAATTTGTTCATGAAAGCTGACGAACACCATCAAGCCTGATTCTCCTCTCACTTCTACTGGTAAAAAGCAGGAGTAATTCCATTGACATCACCTGAGTGCAATAGGATAAGCAAGAGCCAAATAAACCCCTTTTTTCCTTTTCCCTAAGAAAACATGTTTAATTGATCCCCAGAAAAGATGACAGCCTCCTAAAGAAATGCACAGCAAGGAGGCCAGGCTGAAATTTAATTGAGGATCTTATATTCCCTACTGCATTTGAAACAGAGCTCAAAAAAAAGTTACCACCTATGGCACGAGATGTGTAAACGAAAGTCACAGGACCAATAAATGAGTCAAGCAGATAGGAACTAGATTTGTAAGAATGAACAAGGCAGCTCAAACCAGTAAATGCTGCTTTTGCGATAATGGGGAGACGATTGTTTATAAAGCATTACAGAGCTTTTTGGTTAATTGCTAAAAACACAGGGCCATATTCTGTTGTAAGTTACACCCCTGCAACCTGATTTGGTCGTATAGGTGTCACTGAGAGCAGAACCTAGCCCACTGTGGTTAGATAAAGACAAAGGGTATTTAAACTATGGGAAAACATGACCTCAGATCAACTGATTTGTCATGACCTTTCTGTACTGATTTCCCCCCCCCCCCCCCCCCCACTAGCTCTCCTCCTTCTGTCACTTGCATATTGCAAACATGGAAGGGACTCACTTTAATTAATACAAGGTCTCTGCAGACCACTGGAGATAATGGCACTTGTTTTCAGGTCATCTAGTCTTAATTGGCTCACACTGGGAGGTGATTTGCTGCTAGTTGACAGCAGAGATCAGTTAATGAGGTCTAAGGCCTTAGAATCCCAGGGAACAAATATTAAGGCTCTTTCAAAATCATTTTTTGTTTAACAGATAGATGTGGAATACCTGTTTCAGAAACTTTACTCTGCTTATTAACCTAGACGCTTACCAGGTAAAATCATTGCATCTGTAAAAAGTCTCATCTCCGCACAGCAGGAGGATCTCACTCAGTTCAAAACTGCCCTAAAAGGAAGGGAGCTCCAAGTGAATTAGACTACTTTTACTCAAACTGAAAGGGCCAGGCACTATATAAAAATGACACTATATAAGCAAACAAAGTAAAAACTGTCTTGCAAGATGTGTTGTTCAGATTATAATTCCAACATGATAGGCTAACTGGACTGAAATGATTTAGGATTCATAATAAATATGAATGTTATATTTATACTTACAGTACAAATATATGTGAGAGGACACAGTGCCTTGTGATGTATCATTATGACAAATGAGATCAGCCAGGGTGCCCTTCTAACAATCCACAGATGTGACTGTTTATGGGCTAGGGCTGAGCTTTGTCAGTGGAGGGTCCCACATCTGGAATCCACTTTTTCTGCTGGTCTGAGAGCTACTCACATTCAGGAAATGGTGAAAGGCTCATATTTTCTCCCAGGTTTTAGCCTGCTCTGTGTGCACGCCTGGAGGGCTAATGTGTTTGGGGGAAAGGTGTGGGGTGGGAGGTAACTGCTTGATGAAATATTGAAGAAACTAGGACAAATTCAGCAGTTACATAAATTGTGGTGGAAGTTGTATGTAGAACGTAAGTGGTAAAGCAGAGTAACTTGGTAATCAGTAATTGTGCAAAATGAGTGTAATTTACACTCAGAGGCAGAAATTTACATGTAGGAGGAAAAACAACTAAGCCCTGGTCTACACTACAGAGTTAGGGTGATGTAAGGCAGCTTACATCAGCCTAACTCTGTAAGTGTCTACACTAAAATGGAGCTCCCACCAATGTAACTCGCCCACTACACCAACTTAATAACTCCGCCTCCATGAGAGGCGTAGCACTTAAGTTGATGTAGTTAGGTCGACACAGTGTCACTGTAGACACTGCGTTGCTTACATCAACTGTTACTACCTTGCGGAAGCCATCCCACAATGCCCACACTTACAGTGAAATTGTTGTAAGCGCTCCTGGTTAGGATGCACGCCAACACAAAGAGCATAGTGTGGACATTTAAAAGCAGTTGAATTACCGCAGTGGCTGTAAGTCAATGTAACTTAAGAAGACTCAATTTTGTAGTGTAGACTTACCCTAACACAAGAGTGTCAGATAAAGATATATACTTTCAGTCCAAACAATCTCAAAACATTCGACAAACTCTGTGCTCAATCTTGCTGTCCTTACTCAGGTAACACTGGTGACTTCATACGTCTGAGCATTTTATTTATAGAACCACCACAGAAACACCCACTGCTGCTGTGAAGGGCAGTAGCCTACTGGCAACTGCAGGAAAGTGAGAGGTGGGGGATGTTTTGGCCAAGATAACAGGGCAAATCCCTAGTCTTACAAAAGTTTCCATGGGATCTTTAATGTCCAAGCAGAGCAAACAGAACACCTTAGTTTTTAAGGCCATATTTGAAAGCCCACCTTGAAAAGAAGAATGGCTGAGTCAACTCTGGAAATGTATCTACTCTACACAGATGAAGAATAGCTGAGCTGAACTTGTGCTTCTACGAAGTCTAAGAATTATAAACCTGATTGTTACAGCACTAAGCCATAAACTTAGAGATGTAAACTTGTAAGGGCTTGTCTTCACTGGTGAGTTAAGTTACAACTTGAATAATGCCATAACTCAAATCCTGCCCCGCCACAAAAACCCTTAACTGAAGTGCAGTTTTAATGTGAGTTGACCCACCCATTGAGGTATAGGCTAAACCAGAGGTGGGAAACTACGGCCCGTGGACCACATCCGGCCCGCGGGAATGTCCTGCCCGGCTCTTGAGCTCCTGGTTGGGGCAGCTAGCCCCCCGGCCCCTCCCCCGCAGTGCTCTGGGCGGCATGGCTGGCTCCGGCTGGGCCACACGGCTGCGAGCTCCTGCCACTCTGAGCAGCATGGTAAGGGGGTGGGGCGGCTGGATAAGGGGCAGGGCGTTCCGGAAGGTAGTCATGCGACAGGGAGGTTGGATAGGGGGTGGGTGTCCTGGGTGGGGGGGGGGGGCTGGGGCAGTCAGGGGACAAGGAGCAGGGGGGGTTGGATAGGCATGAGAGTCCCGGAGCGGGGGCCTGTTGGGGGGTGTGTGTGTGTGGATAGGGGTTGGGGCAGTCAGAGGACAGGGGCAGGTTGGATAGGGGGTGGGGTCCTGGGGGGGCAATTAGTGGCGGGGGACAAGGAGCGGGAGGCGGGTTGGATGGGTCGGGAGTTCAGAGGGGGGCAGTCAGAGGGCGGGAAGTGGGAGGGGGCAGATAGGGAGCAGGGGCCAGGCTGTTTGGGGGGGCACAGCCTTCCCTACCCGGCCCTCCATACAGTTTCGCAACCCCAATGTGGCCCTCGGGCCAAAAAGTTTGCCCACCCCTGGGCTAAACTCAAGTTAGCAGAACTCATCAGCTCCTAACACAACCAATCTGTGCAGCTAATACAATCATTCTATGCAGCTCAAGTGCCATTATACAGTGGGGAAGTGAACTTGAGCATAAATAACTCTATTTAATTTTCAGTGAAGACATACCCATGACTTCTACTACAAAGAGCTAAGGCCACGTCTACACGAGCAAGCTTACAGCGGCACAGCTGTACCGATGCAGCTGCGCCCCTGTAAGATTGCTCGTCTAGCCGCGCTATGCCAAGAGGAGAGAGCTCTCCCGTTGAAATAATAAAAACTGCCTCAACGAGCAAGCAGTAGCTATGTCAGCGGGAGAAGCTCTCCCACTGACATAGTGCTGTGCACACTACCACTTATGCTGGCAAAACTTACGTCACTCAGGGGTATGTTTTTTCACACCCCTGAGTGGCATAAGTGGTAATGTAGTCCTGGCCTTCGTAGAGCGTAATGCCTTGGTGGTGCAAAGGCTGGCTGCCTATGGACAGAGAGCCCTAAGTGTTAAGAATCTTTTCTTCATATTCAATCTAGGTTTATGTCTATTAAAGTAAAGCCATTTGCCATTTCAAACAAACCATCTCTCAAAAAAATACAAAATTAATATGGGGGAGAAGTTATTTCTTTAGAGGAGAGAAATATAAAGTGTTACCCACTGCAATTGAGACAGCACTTATGACAGCTCCCAAGTAGCCCTGGATGAACTTGGATGTTGGAGAAGGCTTTGGAAAGGAAAGAAAAAAACAAAACAATTTCAACACAGAATTCTGGTTAGGAAAATAATTTTGAATTATTATTATTATTTTTTAAATGTTTGGTTTTGTCACAGCTGCTGGGTTACACGTGGCCCTGTTAGCTAGTGGGATTGCCAAAACAACAGGAGTTACAGCCTGATGGAGTAGGTTAAAGCAGTGGTTCTCATCCAGGAGTACACATACACCTGGGAGTACGTGGAGGTCTTCCAGAGGATACGTCAACTCATCTAGATCAATGTTTTTCAACCTAGGGGTCAGGGGATGCATATAGGAGGGTCGCAAGGGCAGGGCTGGCATGCAGGGTGGCAAGCAGGGCAATGCCACAGGGGGCCCTGTGAAGCTAAGTTATATGCTTCAGCCTGAGCCCCACTGGGCAGCAGGGGCTGAAGCATGTAACTTACCTTTGCGGGCCCCCTGTGGTTTTTAAGTGACGTGAAACTTAGGGTACGCAGGACAAATCAGACTCCTGAAAGAGGTAGAGTGTTCTGGAAAGGTTGAAAACCACTGAGTTAAAGGACTTGGAAAATTATTTATTTAGCACCAGAAATTTACTCTTTGTCCTGGAAATATTATACATAAATGCGATTTGGCAAAGTGGCAGAACTATTCACACACACACACCCACACACACATACATTATGAACCCAAAGCTTTCTGATTTAACTATAGCTCTTTGAAAGGTTATCTTGACCTGACAATTTCTTTTAGCTTTTAATGAGAATCTATTGCATGCAAGTGCAAAGGCTTCTAATTCAGCTTCATACCTTAAGCTCTCAGACATCATGAGAAGTGATACAACAACGTAAAAGTTTGGGGAAGGAGGTGTGAAAGAAAGACTAGGAGTAAGAACACTTTAGTTCTGCAACTGTATTGAGAGGAACACCCCTGGGATAGTAACAAAATGAGGGAAAGACTTGTCCCCCGCCTCCCACCAGGGGTTGTATATTTAATCGCCGAGTCTTCTTTTGTCATCAGAAAAGCCAAATATCTATCATCGTTGCTCTTTACTATGTTAAATTAAGTCACTTCTTACCAACCAAGACTATCAACTGGGCCAGCCCAATGGCAAACTGCAGTCGCGGCAGCACATTGTCTGCCATGTAGGAGAACAAGATCTGGAAGAGAAACTGACTCATCTCTCCAAATTAGTGGCTCCCATGTGCACTGGAGAAGAGAGAAGCTTGGTGTCTGGAAAGAGGCCCAGAATCCCCACTTTTAAATGCTCTTGAAAATGATAGCATTAGATACAGAGGGCATGCCAATGCAGCTCCTGCGCTAGCTTTATCTAACCAGTTCTGGCAGTGTACCTGTAAAGAGAGAGGACCCTGCAGAACTCCTCTATGCAGTCACCCTGATTTCAAATGCTTGCAACCCGTCTGAAGGTGTAGACTGAATACTGCGGAATCACACTAGCAGATGGTTCTTATTAGCACTAACCAGCAAGTACCAGAAGGAACCAGAATCTAGAACTGAGAAGTCCTGCCTTGGGGAATGGTTTTATGTCTGGTTGAGGTTATTTGAGTTACCAATAAAGTCAAACCCTAGGAAGGAGCTAAATTAGGATTACAGACAGCATGCATACATTCTACCAAGCAGAATAGGAACTACACCTGCTTATATCACCTAAACCCAGACCAGCAACAGCCCCGCTATTCTGGAACAATACCCCTGGTTTTGGTACTTTGAGGATTTGAACAAAGGACAACCAGGGACTAGACTGAAAACAAACTCAGTCCATTTATTTTCTAAGACAATTTAATAGTGAAGGCTCCATAGGAGAAAGGCCAATCCATAAACCTGCTGTGGCATCTACCCTGCAGTTTCTGTTCAAGTCCAAGATTCAGGAATTACGCTTCCAGTGTCAAAAAAGATCAGACTTACTGTAGATACTGCCTATGTAGCATCTCCTCACCTTAGTTGCATTTCGGTTTGCATAGTTGACACATGCGTTGTGGCTCTGATTCAACCACTGAAAAGAAAACAAAAGGAAATAAGAGATACAAACAACTGTTTTAAAAAAGAGAATGTATCTATGTCACTACTGCTGCCAAAAAAAACAAAAAAAAACAAACCCAAAAAACTCCCCCCTCCCCAAACATGATACAGAAAAGTCCACTTTATCCAATTATACCTCCACTGGGTCATGGAAGCTTTGTGATATCAACGAGAAGACTGTTATATGGCTGTGAAAGTACAGGGGTAACGGAGAGGAAAAACTAAATGCAGAAATGTAGGTTATCCACTCTACACACACATACGCACGCACACAAACGACCGCCACCCCTTCACATTTCTAAAGCTTTGTGCATACTTAGAGTCCAATCCATTCCCCTTTTAAGTCAAGGGGTGTCTTTTAAATGACATCAATGGACAATGAATCTGGCCCTCTGACCACAGTACTAGCTGCAGTAAAGTTTAAAAGGGACACGGTCCGATAGTTTAGTCCCTAAATTTAGGTTTTTTAAATAAAAGTTTTATAAAATCTATTAATATGAATATTTTCATGATACTTAAGAAAACCCAGTAAAAACAGTGGGTGTGCTCAGACTTAAACATCCTATTACAGCTATCCCAGAACAACAACCTTGTGCTATTCCTATTATTGGTACTAGCCTAGAGGTTCCAACAGAGATCAGAGTCCCATTGTGCTAGGTGCTGTAGATACACATAGTGAGATAGTCTCCCCCACTGGTCTTTTGTTTAAGAGTGGCTGTTTGATCCCTTTAGGGGCTACACCCAAAAGAAAGACAAATAGGCTGGTCTCTCCCACCTGTCTGGGGGAGAGGGGGGAGCGAATCTCTCCTTGGTATCCTCCACTGTCACCATTTTGTTATATTGCATCCCACTCCTGGCCCTACAGTTGACATCCCCGTGTCTCTGACCCTCTCCTTTTCACCTGCATTAAATTCACACAGACACGGACGCACACTAAAACTAGAAAATAAAAACACACCCTAAATTAAAACAGTAAAATTGTGATAAAAACTGATCTAAAGCTGGAAAGATCAAACCTTTTTAAAAATTCTTTGCATAAATGATAGCATCATTGAAGGGTTACAGAACACGGCAATTTTAACATTAAACATTCTTCTTCCTGCTCTGTTCCATGACATCCCTTATAGAAAGTTGCAGGATATTATAGGCCCTAGCAGCCAACCTTTTAGACACTCATTAAACTCAGTGGTTCTCAAACTGGGGGTTCATGGGAGGCTGGGGATCATGAATCTACTGTACCATTTCGGGGATATGGACTGGATGATCTAGTTGGTATGTCCATCTCTGACTTCTAGGATAAGATTTACTCCAATGGAATTGTGCCAGCAACAGTAATGGCAACTGGAGAAGAGTAACGCCGTGCTTTTGAACTGAAGTGCTTTATCCACAGCAGTTGTGAATTAAAAGAACTACGGTTCCCCACCCCACTCCCAAAGCAGGTGCCACACATAATGTGCTTCAATGTAAGAGTAGGATACTACTGGTTCTTCTCCAGCTAATGGCCAGAACCTGAGAGGAGAGAAAGAAGAAAGGGGAGAAACAGAGTCACCAAGTGGTTAAATGTGGGGAAGGCATAGGCACAGAAGGACCAAATTGGGAAAAAGCGGTAGTGATGGCCCACAAGCATGTTCTTCCTATTGATCTCAGAACTTTCACATAAAGGAATACATGGGGCCACCAAAATTTGCCTTTTATGCTAAAAAAAATATGATTTATGAGAATTTTGTTTGGCAATAGGTGTTTGGAATTTGTCCTGGTTTCCAAGTGAGTCTTTATAAAGCTCCACTAATCAAACTCTACTGAAGTGGTCCATCGAGCAGAGCTAGAGAAACTTCTGTAACAGACACTCAACCAGGTGGAATTGGGTTTCATTGAGAACCCAATACTCACCCCTGCTTGATCACCATCCCACAACTCCACCCCAGTTACAGACCAGAATCTCAGCTCAGAAATAGAAAACTGGGACAAGTTTTGCCCCACTCCCTTCCTACCTTAAGCAGTCTTTAGAATGGGAATGGATCAGTGCCCTGTTATCCACTCTCTGGCTCTGCTGTCTTCTGGGGTGGCTGGCTGATACACTTCTGGACTCTTCAGGGGGTGGCTGGATGACCCACTCCCCCTGTCTGCAGAGTTCAGAGGGGGTGGCAATGGTAGTAGGGCCACTCCCCCCACATCCAGGAAAGATCAACTGGAGGGAGGGCGTTCTGAACATTCCCTCAATTCAGCAAAAATGGGACTCCAAAGGCTCAGAGGGTCCCACTCATGCTGCTCCAATGACTGCTTACCTCAGTCTGGGGCCTGACATGCCCTGGACTGCAACATGCGTACTCAAGGTGCTGTGGTTAAAGTATGTCAGTGCAGGCGCACGGGGCTGCTCTTCTCCAGCTCCTGGTCAGAACCTGAGAAATGATACTGAAAGGAGAGAAGAAGGGAAAGAAACAGAAAGGAGTCAGAAAAGGAGAAAAGGAGGGGGAAAAGAGAACTGGAAAGATGGAGGGTAATGGGGATAGAGGAAGAAGGGAAAGAGGGAACACGGATGGAGGAGCAAAAACGTTCTCTCCCTGGGAGGTCTGGTGACCCCCATATTTTTTGCACCACAAATTAAGTTGGCATCTGAAGTTTGAGAGAAGCACTCCCAAAATGAACCTCTCCTGTTAACATTGTGATCTGAGGCAACTTGGTCTGACAGTGGGTCCAGCAGGCCGTCAGGACCAGAAAAAGTTTGAGAACCACTGAAGCAGCCTCCCAAGCATGCTCCGAGTTAGTCAAGTTGAAGGCTATGTTCCTTTTCTTTGCTGTGGGCTGGGATTGCATCTGATCACAGTTTGTCAAGCAGTTAGAATCCTACTTTTTGCATGTCGAATTCTACCTCTACATAAGCACATGTAACTCCCAGTGAAGCCAATGCTGTTCTACTATTGATCTGGGACTTGAAATTTGTATATTCTGTTAATGAATTTATCTTGGATTATGCTCTTGTGGGTTGTTGACTTTTTTTTTTTAGAATACTCTTTCCAGTTCCAAATAAGGATTCTGATACCCTTATTTACACTGAATAAATGTATTCTTCTGAGCGTATGTGCAGTGTGCCTCAGGTGGCACGTAACCAGGATTCATCACTGAATTTGGTCCACTGGTTGGATCATTAGCTTCCCCAGCCCGGGCCAGGTACTGATGGGGAGTGCGACGTGAGCGCTGATCCATGGCCCCCAGTAACTGCATAGTAGTCCCTTTGATTTCAGTGAGACTTATTGCACAGTAAGGTACTACTCACAGTGTATACGAATCTGGTCCTTGAAGAATTTCACAAAACATGTCTCATGTGCTCTTCATGTGTCAGTATAATAATGCCAGCATCTGTAATTTTCACTCCATGCATCTGAAGAAGTGGGTTTTTTACCCACCAAAGCTTATGCCCAAATAAATCTGATAGTCTTTAAGTGCCACTGTACTCCTTGCTGTTTTTACAATTAAACAGGTTTTGTGCTGTGCTTGTAGCTGGAGTCCTAGTTAAGAACAGACCCTTCAGTTTACCCCTTCAACTTTCTCTAAGTACAGAACACAAGGTTCACCTTTCACTGTGAACAGGGACTCTTTAGGGTCTTATCCTGCTACCCTTAATCACATGAGTAGTCTTTACACATGCCAGGAGTCTCATTGATATCAGTGGGGCTATGCACATGAGGAAGAGTAGCATAATCAAGTGTCTGATCCTGCACCACTGAAATCAAAGGGAGTTTTGTCACTGACTTCATGAGTTCTTAGGCATCATGACAGTGGGAGAAGTGAAAAACTCTAGACATTTCCAGCCACACTGCCTCTTAAAGTTGTATATTGCACAAGATGCAGCTTCAGCGTTTGAACTATGTGGCCATAACTTACCTTGTTGAATTTAAACACAGCCACAAGCTACTAGGATACGCTTATGTTTTCTGTTGACTGCACATACCCTTTCCAAAGTCCTATCATAGAATCATAGAATCATAGAATATAAGGGTTGGAAGGGACCCCAGGAGGTCATCTAGTCCAACCCCCTGCTCGAAGCAGGACCAAATCCCAGTTAAATCATCCCAGCCAGGGCTTTGTCAAGCCTGACCTTAAAAACCTCTAAGGAAGGAGATTCTACCACCTCCCTAGGTAACGCATTCCAGTGTTTCACCACCCTCTTAGTGAAAAAGTTTTTCCTAATATCCAATCTAAACCTCCCCCACTGCAACTTGAGACCATTACTCCTCGTTCTGTCATCTGCTACCATTGAGAACAGTCTAGAGCCATCTTCTTTGGAACCCCCTTTCAGGTAGTTGAAAGCAGCTATCAAATCCCCCTTCATTCTTCTCTTCCGCAGACTAAACAATCCCAGCTCCCTCAGCCTCTCCTCATAACTCATGTGTTCCAGACCCCTAATCATTTTTGTTGCCCTTCGCTGGACTCTCTCCAATTTATCCACATCCTTCTTGAAGTGTGGGGCCCAAAACTGGACACAGTACTCCAGATGAGGCCTCACCAATGTCGAATAGAGGGGAATGATCACGTCCCTCGATCTGCTCGCTATGCCCCTACTTATACATCCCAAAATGCCATTGGCCTTCTTGGCAACAAGGGCACACTGCTGACTCATATCCAGCTTCTCGTCCACTGTCACCCCTAGGTCCTAGATAGTTTGCATTATGCCTTGATCTTCCACGGCTGGCATGACATTTTATAGCACTATTTACTTTGAAGGCAATAAACAAAGATTTTTAAGAACAGCTTGAATAAGTCTTTTTATTTCAATTATTCAGAATTGCTTATTTGGGATAACCTTTACTATGGCTCAAATTCTCACACACACACACACCCCTCTTAAATAGCTTTGTACAAAGAAACTATGTAGGGGTAACTGCAGAAAATTTAGCCAAGCCCCCACTCCCTCTCCCAAACCCGACTCAGCACGCAGAACTGGCATGGAGCCCAGCTATCAGCAAATGTGGAGTCTTCTGCATGTAAGTTCCGCTGCCTTGGGGACCTTCTGAAGCCTCAGAGCCCTGTGGATGAATTTCACTAAGAGAATATGCAGTGTAGCTGTAGTTGTGTCGGTCCCAGGGCATTAGAGAGACAAGGTGGGTGAGGGAATATCTTTTATTGGACCAACTTCTGTCGGTGAGAGAGGCAAGCTTTTGATCTACACACAGCTCTTTTTTCTAAGAGCTCCGTGGAGTTTGAAAGCTTGTCCCTCCCACTAACAGAAGTTGGTCCAAAAAAAGATATGACCTCACCCCCCCCCCCTTGTTTCTCTGACAGAATATGTCCTTTTCAAGGTATGTAAAGGCTGGAACCTAAACTACTTGACAGAATGTCTTCAAAACAGCAGAGGTGTGAGCGTCAAGGGCCTAATTCTCCATGGCTTTGCACCTCGTGTCATCATTTACACTTGAGCAAAGTGGGTGTATAGTAATACAATTTGGATTTAGCACCATTTTACACCTTCTTTACACAGGTGTACATGATAACACAACGTGCAAGGCAGTGGAGAATCAGCCCTATGGGTTTATTTGCAGCATACTCCAGTCCTACCAAAAATTTCCAGTTACATCCAGCCATACCATCTTCTCATTAACTAAGATGCTCTTGATGCAGAAAAGTAAATATGCCTTAGTCACACTGTCCTCATTTTTTGGGTCTGTACTGGAGATGTAATTCAATGATGCCTTTCTTTTTGTCACACAAGTCCATAGACTCAATGTGCCATGGCAGAAGATTGTTACCTGCCAAAAAACAGTGGACACCAGCGTCTGGTTTGGCAGGAGAAGACCAACAACCTACAAGAGAGAGGAACGATTAAAAAAAAAAAAAAAAAAAGCATAATGAATACACTGTCAGTCTCTTTGTGGGAGGGTGGAAAGGTTTTTATTCTTTGATATGTTTATTGTTTCAACTTTTGGAAATGTAGCTCCTCTAGAAAATGTCAAAAAGAGATCAGATTTTAATGTTGGAAAACCCTGAAGTTCAAGTGCTCTTAATTGGGACCAATTGCTTTAAAGATCATGAGTTTACATTCCTCATACCCACAGTTACAAGGACCCTAGAGGTCCAAATCTGGGCCATGAGTTCAGTCCCATGTTCACTGGGCCAATAGGGATGGGGATATTGGGCCTCACATGGGTATGTAGGGAGCAGCACAGAAAGGCTGTGTCCCATTCCACAAGAGAAAAGGTGCCACAATGCATGGAACTGAAGAGGGATGGGAAAGGAAGTATAAAGGAACTCCTTAGGTTAACCCCCAAACAAAGCTCCCAGTGAGACGAATTGTCAGCTAATGGGTAGATATAATGGGATATGCCCTCACATTTTTATTTTTTTTTCCCCTCCAGCTACCTAATTCTCTGGGAATTAGAGTGGAAAGACAAGCGTGGATCTGTAATGTGAAGACTGTCTATTTCAGAGCCCAGCAAATCAAATTTATTCCTGAATGTGTGCATTTTTCATAGGAGCCCATGTTACCAGGAGAAAAAATGCTCCTCATAGTACCACTCTGACCTCGGGGCTAGAAGGCTGTGGATTCACCCACACTCTTGGACTTTGCGCTAGGCCATCCTCTCTGATCTTATTTATGCTGAGGATGAGGGGAGGGTAAAACCTGATATAACAGCCAAAAGAATCAGTCAAAAGGAAGGGAGGTGAGCCCACGATCACCACTCATTTGCAGCTGCATCAGTTTTGGGGGTACAACTCACAGCCTAAGAATCCAGAAGAGAGAAACAACAACTAAAAAGAGGGTATAAAAAAGGTTGGACGGGCTGGTTTAGTTTACACCTTCCTGTTAAGTTGATTTTTCCTCCTACGTTCTTTCTTGAAATATAAGTTACACCTACTTTGCATGCCTGTCGAGTGCCAAATCAGTGAGTTACACTAACTTACCATTTACACCCAGCATGTAACTAACACCACGATTTACATTATCGGCAAACTTGGCCCAGATATTTCCATAGGAGTTGCACCTCATTCCAACAGGTCTGAATTTGGCCTCAAGAGGCAACGGGTTAAAAAGACTGGGGAAGATGAGGCAGCCCAAAACATTAGTCATTTATAATCTGAACTTCAGTGGAAGAAAACAAGAAAGAGACTAAATGAAAAGAAAAAGAACACCCAAAATCTGCATGACTGAAAGAGGCACATTTAATGCAAACTCTCCATATGTGCAAGAGTCTGCCAAGGAATGTACAGCTTCACTTTTAATTACTGTCAAGGAAAAAAAACAGCTAAAAAGGAAAACAAAATAAAAAACCCTAAACACCAGAAATATATCAACCACCAAATTCTAATTGCCTGACTGATGTGATGGTCATTGTGGCTTTGAAGCCAAGAGATGTAGATGCTTTCCCTAAAGATTTGCTGATTCTGACAAGACTCTAGCTGAAAGAGGTCAAGTGGGATGAATTACCAAGAGGGATCTTTATGTTTACAAAACCAAAGTCCTTTCCTACTGGTTAAGGAAAGTGGATTTATCTGTGAGTCCATATTAACAATAGTACTCAGCTCTTATCTACTGCAGTATTGCCAGTCCCAAGCAGCCAAAAACCATGAATCAGAACCCATGAAAGAAATTAAAAACAGATTCCCAAATAATCACACAAATCCAGGAGCTGAGGATTTAAGAAAATTGCCAAATATAATGAGACTCGCAATAAAATTGCAGGAGTTGGCAACACTGCAGACTGCTTTTCATCCCCAAGTACTTTACAAAGGGAGGCAAGTGTTTCCCCCTTTTACAAAGGGCACATGGTGGTAGAAGTGACTTGCCTAAGGTGACTCAGCAGGCCAATAGCACAGCCAGGCATGGAACCCTGCTCTCTTGACTCTGACTCCAACGCCCTACCCACTAGGCTATGCTGCTGAATTAAGTAAGCTCAGATGAAGCCTCTTCCTAAGTTGGTGTCTTGTCCTAGGCTAGAACCATAAGACTGCTGCACAATCATTTTGCTCAAGGAATTCCCATCCCCCTATGTTCAATGTAAGATTCACACTGTTTTTATGCTAGAGCAGGCTGCCAATTTTGTCACTAAATTTCACAGATAGATTGGCATAAATGTTACATTTTAATTTTAACATTTGAAAATGCTTCTTTAAAAAAAAAGACAAGAGGTTCCAGTTTATCCTTTACAGCTAGTGAAATTGGACTCATCTGACAGCTCTCAGCTCTGCTGACAGATCTGGATTTGGGCCGATTTCATTGTCAATTTGATCGTTAACTCATTTCTGTTTAACCTAATTTTTTTTTAAAATAACGTCCCACCACAAGTTGCCACCAAAATGTAGGTTACAACAAATTAATAACACTAATTTTAACCTCTATATTTTGGTGACCATGTTATCACCTTCCTTGGAGAGGATCATTACTCTTATGCCTTATAGTGATAGACTCAAGCTCAATCTGTTTAGCTTAACAAAGAGAAGGGGTGATTTGATCGCAGTTCGTAAGTACCTGCTTATGGAACAAATAATTGATAATGGGCCCGTCAGTCTACTAGACAAAGGTATAATATGAGCCAATGTCTGGAAACGTGGAAACAAATTCAAACTGGAAATAAGGTGTCAATTTTTAACAGTGAGGGTAATTAACCACTGGAACAATTTACCAAGAGTCCTGGTGGATTCTCCATCACTGGCAATTTTTAAATCAAGATTGGACGTTTTTTCCTAAACAAAATGCTCTCGATATTATTTGGGGAAAGTTTTATGGCCTTTGCCATACAGGAGGTCTGACTAGATCAGGGATCAGCAACCTTTGGCACGTGGCCCATCAGGGAAATCCACTGATGGACCAGGACGGTTTGTTTACCTGCAGCGTCTGCAGGTTCGGCCGATCGCAGCTCCCATGGCCGAGGTTCGCCAATGGGGGATGCGGAACGCAGCGGCCAGCACATCCCTCGGCCCGCACCACTTCCCGCAGCTCCCATTGGCCTGGAACAGCAAACCGCGGCCAGTGGGAGCTGCGATCAGCTGAACCTGCAGATGCTGCAGGTAAACAAACCGTCCCAGTCCATCAGCGGATTTCCCTGACGGGCCGCGTGCCAAAGGTTGCCGATCCCTGGACTAGATGATCACAATGGCCCTTTCTGGCCTTGGAATCTATGAATCTGAGTGTTTTATGCCTCAATGCACTTAGTTTATGAGGTTTCAACCAGCAGATTTCAATCTTTACAATAGTTGAGGCAGCATGATCTCGAGGATTTTAAAAAAAAAAAAAGCTGGAATCCAAAAGTATATGAATTTTTCATCATGGTACTGATATCAACTTGCTATGTTGCCTGGGGCAAGTCACTTAAAATTGCTGTGCCTCAGTTTCCCAATCTGTAAAATGGGGGTAATACTTAGCTACTTCACAGGCAGAGGGTGAGGAGTAACTGAAGTTTAAGCATTATAAATGCAGTCAGGGAAACCTCTAATCTGGCCTTCACTCAAGATATTGTCCCCAAATGTTAATACAGTCAACTGAAAATAACAAACATGAACTGAGAGATGCACACTTAGCAATAACCCATAACTAATGACTTTTCAACAGTTCATTAGAGAGGATTTTGATTTTCATTGGGAGAAAGGAGTTACTGGGGGTATGGGGGTCAAATAATCCTGGGTACTGTGACGTAGCTCTTAAATTTGCGGGGCTCTCACTAGATTTGTCACATTCTGGAAGCAGCTTGTCAATTATACAGAGGAGGAAGGATCTGAAGACCAATGCAGAAGTTACATTTTACAGGTGATCAGTGCACCTTGGGGTATTAGACACCTGCGGCCGGCCCATGCCAGCTGACTCAGCCTTGTGGGCTTGGGTTAAGGGACTATTTAATTGCACTGTAGACTTTCAGGCTCAGGCTGGAGGGTCTTAGAGCCCAGGCTACAGCCTGAATCCAAACATCTAGACCATAATTAAACAACCCCTTAGCCTGAGCCTCCGCGAGCCTGAGTCAGCTGGCATAGGCCAGCCATAGGTTTTTAATTGCTGTGTAGACAGACCCATTATCTTTCTGGAGAAAGAGCCAGGTAGAAGATTAACCAAAAACTAGAAGATATTACAAAAATAGCAGGATACTATGTGCAGGGGAGGAAGTGAATAACGTGTAACAGGCAAACAACCTTAAACATGACAAGCTAAATCCATCAGGGCACATTTTGCACAATGAAACCCTCGCTAACGTGTGATGGGAAAGGTGTGAACATTTTGTGAATGTCACACTGAAGTAGTGTGGAATTTGGAGAATTCTATGTGAGTGCTAAAAAATGCATTTCCTGTTACACTCAGACCGGGTGGGGAGAGATGCTAAAATACTTACGATGGGTGTTCCAAAAGGAATGTAACCTATAAAAAAAAGAAAGAAAGATACGCACATTTTAATACATAGAGATTAAGGAGGTATCACACCTGAGAAACCTGGTGCTGCTATAAACATAGGACAGGAAACACATAGGGCATGAGTCTGAGGGTCCTCTTGTTTGCACCCGTATAACTCCAGTGACTTTAGTGGAGTTACAGCTTGACAATCAGGAGTGAGAGAAAAATGGACTCACAGTTCTTACCTCACTTTCTCTTCTCAGCTCTTGGGTGTTTTAAGTGTTAACCAAGGGGTTTTTTTAGGCTTTGCCTGCACTAGAAAAGTCACACTGGTGTAACTACGTTGGTTAGGGATGCAATATTTGTACCGATATCCTGATATATAAACCCTAGCATGGATGTAGTTATAACACTATAAAGGAGCCTTATACTGGTACATCTTTTTTCTCTTCCCAAACCAGAATAAGTTATACAGCTATAGCTGCATCCACATTGGAGGAAGGAGGGTGTACTGCTTTAGCTATAACAGTATAGTTAAAATGGAAACACTCTAGCGTGGGCAAGCCCTTACCCGAAATATCAATGGCCCTCTACAAAAATCACATACTCCACATATTGCCTCCCTCAGCAAGAGCTGCCAGTACCACACTTCGCTCTGCTACAGCACCTCTCACCAGAGAGTCTAAGAGCATGTTACAAATATTAATGCATTAAGCCTCACAACCCCAGTTGACAGACAGGGATGCCATAGCCCAGGGAGGTGAAATGATTTGCCCAAAGTTACACAGCAAGTCAGTGGCAGAACAGGGGAGAGAAAAGTTTTTAGAGAATGAAGCACCAATCCTGCCATTTCTCCCATGCTCACAGGTTGTTCCACCGCATGAGCTCATTTCCCAGCATAGCACATTAGAAACCAGATAAAGGTCCCTTCTAAAAGGGGATTCAGACTCTCCCTGCTGGTTGCTCTCCCAAGAAGGTACCAAAGGAACACTTCTGTACAGTAATTGCCCCACAAACACAGCCACAGCTTGATCCACAGTAAAGGAAGGTAGTGCTCTTTTGCCTCAAGGGATGGAACACTACTGAAAAGAGGGGGACGAAGAGGCTGATTTAATGGTGCAACAGCAGCTGTCTCACACAAAGGCTGGATGTAGTATGGCACAAAAGAAAAGCATTCTGTCTGGAAATGGCCCACCTGTTGATCACTTTAGATAAGCTATTACCAGCAGGACAGTGGGGTGGGAGGAGGTATTGTTTCATATTCTCTGTGTATATATAAAGTCTGCTGCAGTTTCCACGGTATGCATCTGATGAAGTGAGCTGTAGCTCATGAAAGCTCATGCTCAAATAAATTGGTTAGTCTCTAAGGTGCCACAAGTACTCCTTTTCTTTTTGCGAATACAGACTAACACGGCTGTTCCTCTGAAACCTGTCATTCTGTCTCTGAGGGAGAAAGAACATGGGTTGGCGGTATGAAAGGTGCCTTCCAAGAATTCTGTTCTAGTTAGGTTCTTCTACTATGCCCATCGCTGTGGTACGTGGCCCAACCCACTCTCCTTAGTGGAAGAAAGTACCAGAGTGTTTGTTTATGTGGCAGCTTTCTTTCCTTGCTCCGAGGTTAAAATGAATGCTAACACTTAAATAGAGTGCCTGGATACCACAGGATGGGCACTTTAGAGAGGCCAGAGATGAGATAAGCTACAGTTCACATTCAGATGTCCAGGGGGTACATCTGAGAGGGAGAAGAATGAGGCAGACATTAAACATTTAAAAGATTCAGAGAAAGAACTGGGACAAAAATGGGATTATAACATTGACTATGTGTTTTCAGTAAGATTAGTAAAACAGATCAGTACACTGATTAGAGGATATACTCTACCTGACATTCTGAAAGGCATGAAGATCTTCTCATTAGTATCAGGATGTATGATGGCCTACAAAACAATCAGTAAATAGACATGGTGAAAGCATGGAAGTGGCTGGCAAGCAGCAAAGAGCCTGACCCTTCCCATTATGTACAATATGTTTAACCAGAGAGCAGAGAGACACACGTACGTGTCTCTACAGCAGCGTAAGCAGCATGCTGCACGTGGCTTTTGCAGCACAGATCAGTGGCCCATGACCATTCAGTAGTCTTCACAAAACCCTCCTCCTGCTTATTGGTTTTCTGCTCCTTTAAAAATTCTTGACATAACTGAGTGCTAATGAGAAGTGACAGCTTGACAACACTGGAGACAGAAGTATAGAACAGGTACATAATGAGCAGTAGCAATGTCCACAAAGAACATGCATCAATGTGCTTTAACCCTGACCTGGGAGGTACTACCTCTAGGGACAAGAATAGAATTTAGTCTCCATGGCCCACTCTGTCCTTAGTGTCTGCTAACAATGAGACCGGCTTTGTTGGTGGTTTTGTAATCTGGACACTCAGACTAAATTCACTGTACACAAGACACTAACAGCCATTAGATAGTAATAAGTCATTGTCAAGTGGATTAGATGGGAAGCAGCAACCTAAATCAGTGCAATGTAGCTCTCCTGTCCTGTGTGTAGGTTTGAAGTTTTGATACAGTAAAGTTTTTGAAGAAAAAAAAAATCAGTTCTAAGCAAATGTTCAGGACAGATTTTAAATTCAAATTATTCAGAAGTGTTACTCAGCTCTCCTGCAGTAAATTGAGTTGTTCAGAAATTCCTGTGATTATAAAATTAAAAGCATATTTTCTGAAATGACAGTTTTTATTTAACTCTTCCTGACTTTATACACGATGGGTTCTACTCACAACCCCCATTCCTACTAAATCTATATATACATTTTCCTCGGATTAAGGGTGAAGAGTCTCTCAGTAATCTATAACAATAACGAAAGCTCTCTCCATTCACATGTATTGTAAATCAGGTTGAGGCAAGCATGGACATTTGCATGGAAATCCAACAGAGCCTGACCATTGTGTTGCCAATTGAAAACATGATTGTATGGTCATCTGGTGTTACTGAAACAAAGAATTCTCCAGTAAAATCCTATCGACTACCATAATGGTTCATTGCACTACTTTATGGCCGCAGGAGAAGTTCAGCCTTCATGTCCATCCAGTTCTTGGCCTCACTGTGGAGACCACTTACAAAGGAGCCAGCTGTGGTAGTTTTGTGCTGTGGACACCTGTTCATTAAGAACTGGACTGAGACCACCAATTTATTCCATTCTACAGCTGTCCATAAAAGTCACCTTTGGTCTTTCTCACCTTAGGCAGATAAGGACCAGATCTCCATATGAAGCCAGTGAGGATGCATCAGTATAAAAACTGGTGTAAACAGGGGTGAGACTCAGTCTGCTAGTGTTTTGGGATTGTCCAGGGGAAAGATATAACAGAGTTTTTATTGATTAACCAATTTATTTGAGCATAAGCTTTCGTGAGCTACAGCTCACATCCGATGAAGTGAGCTGAAGCTCACGAAAGCTTATGCTCAAATAAATTGGTTAGTCTCTAAGGTGCCACAAGTACTCCTTTTCTTTTTGCGAATACAGACTAACACGCCTGTTACTCTGAAAAGAGTTTTTATTGTTATGGAAGAAATGTCAAACCAGTTAATGGAAATGTGGAGACCAGGAAAACTCTAGGCTAGATAAATGGGAGAAAATGAAGACATAAAATTATATATAAACAATAAAATAAAATTAAGACTCTTGTGTGGGGAAAAACTTATTTGCACATGCTATTTTATCTTGTCAGAGAAAATGTAACTGAAAAACCGTGACAGACAAAGAAGAACCACCTTTCCCCCCATTTAGGAAAAACAGAAGGGAATAGTGATATTTTAAAAGAGGAATAAAATATTTAAAAGCATGTTACCTGCTTTATTTTTTGAGCTCCCCAAAGCTAGAAAAATAAAATAAAATATTAGTTTTTAAAACATCAGCACAGAAGAATCCACATTAATCCTCTGATCTGTTACATTAAAGGAACGGGGAGAATCGCTCTAAGAAAGAACTTTCCTCTGGATGTCAGAGACGGTTATTAAGGGCCCTATTCTGCCACCTTTACCCACATTGAGAAGTACCTCATCAGAGCCAGTAGTTCTACTGAAATGAATGATACCACTTGGAGAGGAAGACACTGTTCAACATAAGACAGAATGGCAGAATTCAGACCTTATATTGTAAGCTTCTGAGATGAGGAACACTGCCCTCTTTACTTTTCTGTGTACACATCTGATTAGCACAATAACACCTTGAATGAGCTCCCAAGACTCCCACCTGACGTCAGTGGTCATTGGAGGGCATTCCACTCTAAGGTGAGTAAACACTGCAGTGAGGTATTTGCAAACATTCATTCAAATACAAACTATGCATTAGCTTCAATAGGACGAGTGGCCCATTTTTCACTTTTCCACAAACAATTGTGCAAGGAAAATCTTTTTCATTGAAGAATGCTCACTGAAAGGGAAGGTGTAATCAATATTCATAAAATACATGTTTTTATTATTGTTTATAGCACATAAAGGCCCCAAATCAGGGGTAGGGCACCACTGCAAAAAGTCACAGTCCCTGTCCCATACAGCTTACAATCTACTTTATGACAAAATGAAACAAGCGGATGTAACAAATAATTGAAAGGAATAGGAAAGGAGGATGAGAGTAAGAGAGAGAGAAAAGAATATCCAACATGGACTCGCTTTGTGCAGAATTTGGTGGTTCAGTCATTTAAGGTATGGAATTTTTTAATGTAAGTTATAGGATTGTGCCACCCTCTCTCACGTTGGGCTTGGTCCTGTTCCCATTCAAGTCAATGGAAAAATTCGCATTGACTTGGTGCAGGATCAAGGCCCTTGAGGAGTAGGTTTCAATGGAAATATTCACGGGGTAAGGTACTACCTCCAGGTGAGGAAGCATAGTAGAAACTGGCCCATAGCTATCAGCAATCCCTACTACCTAGTAATTATCTACACCCAGATTCCGATCTAATTCACAAAGGTGTAAATCTGGAATAACTATTGATGTCAGTTACTGTGGTATTTGAGCCTCTCACAATTTTTAGTGTATTTATCCTCACTACACCACAGTGAGGTAGGGCAATGCTATTATCCCCATTGTACAGAGGGGAAACTGAGGCATGGAGAAAGTAAGTGATTTGTCCAAGGTCACACCAGGAGTGTGTGGCAAAGAAAGGAATTAAACCAAGATGAATTCAAATCCCAGGCTAGCGCCCTACATACGGGACCATGCAGCCTCTTTAATACAGCATATGCATAATGGTATAAAAAACAATAACTGACCTTCAGAATATTAAACAAAAACACCTTCAGTAAAAGAGGAATTCTACTGTGTGTTTCTACCTCTTCTAAATGCATTATACAGCAAAGACCATGTATTTTCTGGCATGATCTTAGACATGGGTGCCGAGAACTGGCCTTCAGCTTCTCTGTTCAGCTGACTCTGTTTTCAAATGCACTAGTGAAAAAACAGTCCATGAGGAAGGACGGGCAGTTTCTGAGCAGGTTCTATGGGCATTTTGGTCAAGGTATCTAATTTCACTAACTGGTATCAATATTTCTGCTTTTCCTTGCTGCAGAGCAAATATTCTCAGAACACTGGATTATCCCACTGCTTCCCAGAAACCGACTTTACAAGATGCACCTGATGAGTCACCTAAAGATTCTGCCAGCTCATTTTCACTTTTTTTATCCTCTAATTCATTTTCTGTTTTCAGCAAGTCTGCAACATTTTTCCAATAGATTCAACACTGTGAGTAGTTGGTTTTGCCAGCCAGTAGCTGGCTGCTGACAGCAGGTCTCTGTTTTAACTAGGGATTCCATTCACACTTTCTCTGGCCATGTTAGAGATGGGGGGCCAAATTCTGATCTCATTTACACTACTGTGAATCCAAAGCATTCTACTAAATTCCATACTAAAGTAAGTAGAGTTATCCCAGATTTATGCTGGTCTGAATCAGCCCATGGTTTCTAAATAAGGGGCTACTTTTGGGCGGTCTCCTACCACAGGTGTTCCTATTTCACACAGGAATTACTGTACATTAATAACATAGAATTATATACTATGTGTCACCATTCAGGGCACCTGAATTTCCCCTTCATGGTTCAGCAAGGTCACCCACTCTAGGCTCCCAGATCCTCAGCTGTCATCTCTCTTGAGCGGAGACCCACATTTCTCTCCCCCTGATCGGGGTTTTTCCAGGCTGCGCAGTTCCCTGCTTACACTGAGAGTTCCCCAGAAAGTCAGACTGCCGAAGCAGGCCTGCTTTGCTTTCTCCACAGAGGCTATAAACAGAGTAATTGCCCACAATTACCACACCACTCTTTCTAAGCAAGCACATTTATTCTTAAGGGGAAAGCATGACAGAGAAAGCATATTAAAACAATAGAAGAACCTACACACATGCTAATAAGCTTACCAGAGATCACCCCAACTCAAACAAGAGCTCTGGCAGGTGTCAGTCCTTCAAACCCCACCCAGGGGCTCTACTGTGGTTACAAGTTCATAACCCCTTTTGTTCAGAACAAGAATACCCATGAATCTGAGAGTCCCTTCTTTATACAGTTTGGGCCTCTGATCTTGTCCTCATGTAACAGGTGATAAGCAGACCAAGGTTCCCTCCTAAGGGTGAAGCTTCTAAAAGCTGAATTCTTGCACAGATGGAGGAGTTTATGCTTGCATACACTTCCCCCTGGAGATTTCCTGGAAAACCCACTTCACTTTAAAAGTTCGTTCTTGTCTGCCCATTGTTTCAAATAGTTCTTTGAAGCTCTTAACACTTCCTAGGGTTTACATTAGTCATGACTGCCCCCTAGAGACATTATATGCAAACCCAAAATAATACATTACCATTTGCATTTTTAATACAATGTACTCCCAAAGTACTTAAACTTAATCTATTAAAGTTTACCCAGAATACTGCAGGAAATTGCCATGCCTGTCACACTAGCCACTTTGCAGTTTGTGTCCTCTCCAAGTGTTTGCTACCCCTCCTGTTTTGGTATTAGTGGCAAATGTGTTCACACTTGGATTTACACAAAAGAAACATCAAGTAAAAAAAAAGAAAAAGAAAAAGAAAACCAGAGCAAACCAAACCATTTAAAAAAGACTTCACTTTCTGTGAAGCAACCCAAATGGGCAGGGGGCAGTGGCTCAGTCTATGGCCTATGAACTAACGAACTTTTATGTCAGTCTAAACTTTTTAGGATGACAGGTCTGCCTCCTGTTTCATTGACACATGCTTCACCACTGTGAAGGAATTAGCTCCAGGGGCCATTTGCAAGTGCTCCAAGATTATAGTCTAATAGCTCTCAAACTAGTTGATGACAAGCTAGTACTTTTTAATCCATGATTTCCAAGATGCTATTTTCCCTTCAGTTCCAAGAGCAGGGACCCTACAACCTTGTTACTGACGCACCAGAGATTTGTGTAAAGAACAAGAACATGTGAACTTAAGGTTTCAGAGTAGCAGCCGTGTTAGTCTGTATCTGCAAAAAGAAAAGGGGTACTTGTGGCACCTTACAGACTAACAAATTTATTTGAGCATAAGCTTTCGTGAGCTACAGATGAAGTGAGCTGTAGCTCACGAAAGCTTATGCTCAAATAAAGTTGTTAGTCTCTAAGGTGCCACAAGTCCTCCTTTTCTTTTTATGTGGACTTAAGACATCCCCAGGAGTTTCTACTGTGATTATTCAAAAGTTGGAGGGGATAACACCCAAACCCATCAGATAATTGGGGATCCCTGGAGATTTGTAGAAAAGGAGCTTAAATTGCAGAGAGCTCCCCTATAACTACTCTCCTACAGAGCTTAACAGCAGATAATGAAGCAGGCTGGATGCATCTTCCCAACAAGCTCTAACAGTACCACAAAGCTTCATGAACCCAGAGTGTGACCACACAGCTCTTCTTCCTACTCACTTCCTTAAGGCTGGATGTCTGGCAGCAAGGCTTTGTCACAGGTTTGGGAGACCCAGAGCACAGCGAGGAGACACAAACCCAAGTAACCCCAGGGGAATGGTAACTGATCTTTGGTTAAACAGGAGCTTTACTCAGTTGGGGTTCGTTGTAATAACTGGGCCTACAAATTTGCCCTAATTGTGAGCCAAACTGGATAAAGTACATAAAAATTCACAAAATGTCACAATAACCTATAACAACAAATGCTGATGGGCAAAGGTAGGAAAAGGAGACAAAATAATTAAAATTAGTCCAAACATGAAGGCCTACTAACTAAAGCAACTAATGGACTGTGTTACAAATCATGCTTTATAAAAAATAAATAAATAAGTGGGAAAAAAAAATCAGCTAACCAAAATTCATGTGTCAGAAACGACCTAATTGGTGAACAAAATAATGAGGGGATGGGCTATTCCGCCCACCATTCCCTTTGAGAGAGCTTAAAATAAGAGATTTTAAGGAGAAAAACTGGCTACTAGAGCAAGCTTCACCATCATGACTGCCACCCCCACCACCAACTGGGACCCTGGCTTTCATCATCCTGATCCTGAGACGTACTGACCATGCTCAAATAAATTGGTTAGTCTCTAAGGTGCCACAAGTACTCCTTTTCTTTTTGCGAATACAGACTAACACAGCTGTTCCTCTGAAAACTGACCAGACTGGGGCAGAGAGAGGGACCCAGATGACATCACCACCTCTACCAGCTCCAGCTGAAACCCAACCACTGCCTGGGATGAAACAGGATCCGACTTTAACAACAGCTCCATCCCATCTCAACTCACTTCTTCTCTCTTCCCCAGCAGGACCATTATTACCGTCTTTGATACCATCTAAGAGACTGTCTGACAAAGGTGGGGGTTTGCTTCTAAAATTCTCTCCAGCTAAAGGGAAAGGGAAAAAGGGATGCTGTTAAAATGAAAGCCTCAA